CATCAAAATACATAAGTTAATATTTTACCCTCGGCGTAACACATACAAAACATGACCATCATTAAGAATTCAAAACTCTTTCAGACATGTGCCATACATAATACATGAGCCTCAACCCATGTAGATAAGACAAGAAAGATATTGCAGTTCAAAGAGACACACAAAGAAGAATATTATCCGCCCAGGAACGTACCCACTAATGTTGTTCACCTGTTTTAGAAAATGACATTTCATTTATCAAATAACCATTCCATATTCATTCTGAAAAGTTTTAACAGTGATCCACCCAAGAAAGATTTAACAGAAGCAATGTTTGATAGTCAGCAGTTGGAATTACATTTTGTAGTTCTAGTTTTTTCAAATAATTTCCTAAGATTGCAAATCCTTTTGTGTGCATGCAATTCAAGAAAATTTTTGATTATGAAGCATTAAAAATATGGCTTCATGAGATTTCCTAACAAGATGCTCCTTATGTTAACTATGATTGTGAACACCAGATTTCATCAACTTTTAAGAGAAATTAGACAATAACACATGTTGAAAGAATTGTATGTAGCAACAATACAGATCCGTATAAATGACATTTGAGAGAGAAATTTTGGTTAAATAATACATAGTCGTTACAGAGATCAATAAGTTTCATGTAAAACAGTACATTGCTCGTGCAAGAACTTTAGATTTTGCAGGTAATCTATATGGACAGGTTAGGGTGGCTATTCTTCATAAATTTCGCCATAAGATCAGAGCACATCCAAGGAATCAAACCCTCAAAAAGAGGAAGTTCAATTCATTTTTTTTTTGTTGTCTCATTTTGCTTTTTCCCATGAGTCAATACTGATTCATCATTAGCATTACAATATATGTTTCTTCTTCTGAACAAATATATGTCGTGACAACCTGGTCACAAATGTTTGTGAGCTGGATCAAGGCTTTTCCAATGTTACCTTTCATATTCCATCCCCACATCCCAACCTCAGAACTTCCCAATAAGGTTTTCTTTTTGAGTTGTTTGATTTCAAAATTCTTTAATAACAGGCCATCACTTTTACCGTATCAATATAATTTTACAAGTTTATATTTAAGACATTAAGGTTCAACAATTTTATGACCTATTTTTAAAATGTAAAATATGAATTCCAAGTATACAACTTATATTGTAATCTAACTGGTATATAGATATTTTCTTTCTTTGTAAAAAGAAACTATTAATTAGTTAAATGCTTTCCTAACATATGGAAAACAAGAAGAGATAGACATCACCACAAAGTACCTGATTAACTACATGCTTAAGCCTTCGATACTGCAGTCAAAATACACAATTATGCAGCTTTTTATTAAATAAATCTATGTTTAGATAACTGTACAAACAACCAATTTAAGAAAAAAAAAAAGTTTTCTTTTTTCAAAATATCTTTTAATATTATATTTTTTTTAGTTAATTTTTTCCTCATTTATTAAAATAATTATTTTTGATATATTTTTTATTTCTAATTTAATTTAAAATTTAAATTATATCAACATAAACTAATAAAACGACGAATTCCAAACAACTCTGTAAATATAAACAATATTTTCAACCGTTTCAATTATAATAAACAAGTTATCAAATTCAATTACAAAGCAACATCGTTTACAATTACAATCACTAGGACCTCTCTTCAATTCAAGCACTTCAGCTCGCAAAATCAAATTTCAATCCAGCTACTAAACCAATTCCGCAAACCTCTCTTCTATTAAGGGTGTGTTTGTTTGGGGGATTAGATTTAATTTCTACTATTCATCCAATTTTTTTCCCCCAAAAATCTCAAATCAAACACCTATTTTTCATTTTTTATATTATACTAAAATTTAATTTTACATTCGAAACATCACATCAACACCTATTTATATTACATCGTACAACTATTCAAATTCAAAATTTTTACTATTCAAATCCCAATTCAAAATCCAAATCCCCAAACAAAAACATTAGTGAAATCTAAACCACACCTATTATTCAGTGCTAACTTAATACATAAATTATAGAAAAACAATTATATTTCTCTTGTTCAAATACACAATTTCCTCAACTAACAAAACAGACAACAATTAAACAACAAGAAACAATAACATAACAACTTATTCACTACAAAACGTTCAAATAGAGCAACAAGCCGCACGGCGTAGCGCTCTCTTTCACATGTACTAGTGTATATATATATATATATCACTTATTAATTTGCTCTGCACACACATAAGACATAATCTAAGAAAGGAGTCATATGTCTTAGAGAAGAGACCAAAAAAATTATGAAAAAAAAGATCATTTAACCTACAAATCAATACTTCATATCATTGAAAAAAAGAAAACCTTAACCACCAAACCACTCGGCTGCTCAAAATTCCAAATCAAGCAGAGAGCCAAAATAACGCCACAAAACATAATTGGACTGGACAAATTTAAAATGACACCACACTTTACAAAATCAAAATAGTTTCTTACATTTTTTTTATTTATTTTTTATTTTTTATTTTTTTCAGTATAACATGTAAAAGTGATGAATTGCGATTGACAAGCCAACAACAGCAACGATAGGGATAGTCCAATATTGTTTGCTCATGTTCAAGACTTTCTGAAGAAGGTTGTTTGATTGTTTTTCTTGGATATAATTTCCAGCTCTAGAATAGGAGCAGACATTTCGTCAAGCTCCCTAATGAAAAACTGCTCCATTTGTTCCCTTGCCGATTTCCTCTGGCCAACATCTTCAAATTTTTTGATTGCATTTTTACTAGGGGTGGAAATAGACCAAACTTTGGTTAAATAGGCCAGGCCTATTTTATAAAACGAAAGCCTGAGACTGGTCTATTAAAATATCTAAAGCCTAGGCTAGCCTGGCCTATCGCCTATTAATATATATATCTAAGGCCTAGGCTAGCCTGGCCTATCGCCTATTAAAATATATATCTAAGGCCTAAGTCTGGCCTACTTTAAAGTTTGGTCTGGCCTCGAGCCTATTTAAATAGTCTATATAATATTTTTTTTTATTTTTCAAACTTAATATTTGTAGAAAAAAATATATACAATTATTTATTATATATAATAAGTCAGTTAAAATAAATTAATTTTTTAGTTTTTATTGTCACCAAATATAATTTTTTATAAATTATAAATAATGAAAAACATAATATTTATGTATATTAGATAAAAAAAATATACTATATAAATATATAAACAGGCCGGCCTGATAGATCAAAAAGATTTTTCGTAAAGCCTAAGACTGTTCTATTTATTTAAAAAACTTAAAAATATATCTGAATTTAGCTTTGTTAGTAAACAGGCCATGCCAAACCAGGCCTTATGCAGGCCAGATTGTAGGCCCTGACAGGCTGACTGGCCTATTTCCATCCCTAATATTTACCTTCAAAGAATATAAAGAAGAAAATGTCAAACTAGTTCATTCGTGGTCAGGGAGTCTGTCTAAATTTAGGAAATGCTCTATTCCACCAACACACTTATACAATTTGGCTCATTTTGAAGAGAGATCAGTTGCAATTCATACAGTTCAAAAAGCAAATTCAGGGAATGTACATAAATTTATAGAACCAAATGCACAGATGAGACAAACTCCATATATCTTGTCATCATAATAGAGATTCATATGATCAACTAAATAAACAACAATCGTAAATTAAAACAAAGTTCCTCTTTTGATATCTAACAGCATCAAGTATGCATAGCACAGCTACAAATAAAAATAGAATACATTCAGTGATTTACAAAAGAAAAAAACAAAAAAAAAAAAAAAAAAAACATAAAAGAAATCTTTGAATTGTTACTTCACATAATCTAAGCTAACTTCAATGCACATACATATACATTTATATTGCATGGTCCCAACTCCTGATTTTTGGTTTACAATAGTTTGATTTCTTACAAAACAATATATAATGGATATTAATCTATTCGAGAGAGCAACTTAAAAATGATTTGAGACATCAGCAATAATTCAAATCAATACATATAACCATCACAAACACAAATATGAACACCATTAGCAAAGTCCACATTCATAAGACCTAAAAACACTTGTCGTCGAAAGAAAAAATATAAAAAATCACGTCGTTAGAGCCGTTCCTGACTTTCGAAGGCCCGGGGCGAAATAAAAGTTAGGGGCCTTTAAATGTATATATAATATTTTTTACCTATAATAAAATATAAATAAAAGAAAATATATTTTTTCTAGCATAAATTTAATTTTGCCTAATAATAATAATAATAATAATAATTTTTTATAATATTTATTATCTTTTTAATGAAAAAAGTAATTAAAACAAAAATAAAAGATCCCTGAATATATATAAATGATCTACTCCAATTTTTTTTACCTATAATAAAATATAAATTATTAAATAATTTTTTTTTTAGAATTTTTAAATAAAATATCAATAATTGTATTAATATTAACAATTTTAAAACAAAAATTAGGGCCCTAAATATATATAAATAATTATTTTTTTATTTATAATAAAATATAAATAATTAAATAAATTAAACTTAACCACCCAGCATACTCTTTTATTAATAAATTAATATCAAATAATTTATATATATAAATAATATACATATAACATAATTAAATAATGGATCCCAACCCCCCGGACACGACTATTGAATTGGAAATACAACACCAATTTGGCGATATAGGCGATAGATGGGTGGGTCGCAATTGGAGATTCTAAAACGCGACCAGAAATTTTAGGAGGAAGGATTTGAGGAAGAAGAACGCACACGGTTTGGATTTTTGGGTGGAAGGATTTTTTGTCGAAGAAAAATTGATATGAGATTGGTAGGACTAAATTGCAAAAACTTCAATTTATTCTATTTTTATATTAAAATAATAATAATAATAATAATAATAATAATAAAAATAAAAATGCCAGTTGTCAGGTAGACCGAATAAACTGGAAAGTCGGTGGCGGTTTCGCCTAACTATAGTGTAATTAGTTGAGAAATTCATCGTGAATGCGGTGGTGTTAATCGCGGTCGAGGATGGAATCAGCAACTGCTTTTCGGGCTTCTCAAATTTCTATTTCGCCTAATTGGACAGTGAGATCTTTGCCGCAGTTGGAGTTTGGCTCCGGGTATCTCTTGGCTAATGCTGGAGTGCAGGTAATGATGATCAAATTAGGTTATCGTATTTTGCTTCGATCAATAGAATGTAACATAATATTTGTGTGTATTGGATGGTGCACAATTGACTGAGAAATCGTTCTGTTACTTAATCGCGTCGGTGAGAAAGTTTAAACGAGTTTTGGGGGTTTGGAAAGAGGCATTGTTTGCCACTAAAATCTCGAGTTCGGTATCTTTAATCGCAATGGCAATGGCAATCTGAGCCTGAATGGTTCTTCTACAGATGTTGAATATCATTTGGTTCTTAATGAATGTATCTAATTTGAATTTTTGGATTTTGGATATATTTTACAATTTTAGATTTTCCGATTGGTTGTATGGGAAATATATAAGCTCCTATTTTGCATTATGTAATCTGAGAGTTGTTAATAATTCATATGAATATTCTTACATTCCATGCCTTTTTCCATAGGCATTTCCTACGTTTCAAAGTAAGAAGGAAGTGTGTTTTTGCAGAAAATGCAGTCGTCTTCAAGCATGAAGTTTGGAAGCCAAAAAGCTTATCCCTTGTGCAAAAGGGACTCTGATATAAAAGCTTCTATGCCTCGTGATTCTGGTGCTCCAATTGCTCCTCTTCAGCTTGAATCTCCAGTAGGTCAATTTCTCTGGGAAATGCTGGTAAGCGACCCTCATCTTGTACCTGCTGCTGTAGATCAGCAGCTTCAACAGATGCAAACTTACCGTCATGCAGATCAAAAGAAGGGTCCATCCGCATCTCCTGCTGAGCTTGTCTTATACAGGTCAGTGATGATGCATTATATGATGTTATATACTCCTCTGTCTCATAATTAAATATTCATTTGTTTTTTGCACGTAATTTATTATATTGAGATATAGTAGGAATAAAGTAAAAAGGACTAAAATAACCTTATTAGTATATGTGATATAAAGGTAGTTTGTATAATATATTGTAAGTTGAAGGATATTTGTAATGTTAGGTAGATAGTACTCTTACTAAAAAAGAAAATTGATACTTTGTTATGGGACAGAATAAAATGAAAAAATGAATACTTTGTTATGGGACAGAAGGAACATGTTTTCATTTATAGGGTATCTAGGCTAGCTAACTTTGTAGGAACAGGTTGTCCAAGTCGCTTTATGTATCGTGTGTAGTGTAATAACATTTTTGCTTTCGTGGATATATTAGCTCTTGATTAGTCAGCCAAGTTATGGGATAATGAATCCTATCCCATTTATATGATAAAGTGATCCCTTGAAAGTAGTCCTAGTGTTGTATCTGCACGGATATTTTAGTCATTTTTCTTGTATTATAAAAATGAAAGATAATATTTTATTTAGGGAGTATTTTTTTGTTTCTTTTAGTATATGTATTTTTAAATTACTATGTAATATTTCAATTTTGTTTAAAAACATTAACTTTCAATAATTATTTAATTTATAAAATATCAAAATTTAAATACTTAAAAAACACTTTAGTATATATATTACAATATTCAATATACAATGTATTTTTTTAAATATCATAATTTATTTAATTATAATATTTGCTAGTTGATTTTTGAATATTGATTATTATATCAAAACGTAGTACAAATTAAAAGAAAAATTGCAAAAATACTTCAATTAGTCTCTTATAATACTAATAAAGGACATTTGTACAAAAATTTATAGAAATATAAGTATATTTTTAATGTTAAATAGAATAACACAAAAAGTAAATGTGACCCTTAAAGGCGGGTGAAGAGAGTATATATTATAACTATACCATTTGCGTACTTAATGAACCATATTTTGGGTGTATTGTTGGTTTTATAGTTTGAATTGAAATAATTGAAATAATTGTTTGACGTATGTATGGATGTGACGTTTGAATGTAAAATTAGATTTTATGTAATAAAATAAAATAAAATAAATAAAAATTGAGTGTTTGATTCAATGTTTTTAAAGGGAAAAGAAAGTTGGAAGGGTAAAACTACGAGTAAAATCTTGCAAGTAAAGAGAGCCTTTAAAGATGCTTTGTTTGTACATTTGTATATAGGATATCCGATATTGAGTTGTATACGTTTCTATGTTGTATTTCATTCTTGGGTTGGAGAGTTTATGTGGTTGGCGCCAAATTCAAATGTTTGTGGGTTTATGTTTAGGAGAATTGGGCAGCTTAGAGCCAAGGAAAGGAAACAGGCTTTGGAAGAGATCTTGTATGCTCTGGTGGTACTCAAATTCATGGATGAAAATGTCCCACTCATTCCCGCCATCGCTTCCTCCCTCGAGGCTAATAATAACAGTCGTGTGGATGTGTGGCCAAATGAAGACGATAAACTGGAGCGGCTCCACTCTCCCGAAGTGCGCGACATGATACACAACCACTTGACTCTTCTTCTTGGATATCGGTACGATGCTTCTGCCTCCAAAGTAGTCGACATAAGCAAATTAAGAATCGGTCAGGCATACTACGCATCAGTGATGTACGGATATTTCCTCAAAAGGGTGGACCGAAGGTATCAACTAGAGAAGGGGATGAATAATAAGTTACAAGAAAGGCTAACAGAGAAGCGGCGAAGCAGCAGCAGCAGCAGGAAGGCTATGAGTAATAATGGTCCAGGGATTCCAGCATCGAGTCTGTGGGCTGGTAGCGGATGTTTCGCTGGGACGACGCGTTGCAAATTGAGTAGATATGTGATGTCATTTGATGCTGAGACAGTGCAGGGATACGCGTCGATCAGGTCTGAAGAGGCGATCGATATCGTGGAGAAACACAGAGAAGCATTGTTTGGTATACCTGCTGACGGAAATTGTTTTGTGGATGGAAGCATTCAAATTAGCCTCGGAGGTGTGAAGAGACTTGTTTTGGAAGCACTCACTTTTGGCTCATTCCTACGGGATGTGGAGAGCTATGTTGACTCCAGATGTCATTTGCTTACAAATTGGATAGATTGGTTGATTGATTGAGAGAGATATGGAAGGAGAGCTTAAAGAAGCACTCTCTCTCTCTCTCTCTCTCGACATGGATTTTGAGGAGAAATAACATTCCACATACGTGATGGACCTACCTGTATATAGTCACTTTACACTATTATTTATTTATTTATTTGTTTATTAGATATTAAAATTTTTGGAAGAAAATAATTAGATTGTTTGATGATCAAAATAAAGGAGCTATATATATAGCAATACAAAATAGACTCTATCGATTTAAATTTAAGTAATTTAATTTATGGATAAGATCAAATGTAAGTATAAATTTATTAAATTTAAAATCGAATATCTAAAATATCTCACATTCTCTCTCAAACTCAAGTGGTACAACATAAATCAACTTGAGTTTGATAAGAAAGTTGAATATAAACGCAAAAAACGCAAATAAAAATAGCTGTTGACTTGCCATCGGAGCAAAATATAGTTGACTCTCCACCGGAGCCGAAAACGGCATAACTCTCTACGGGAGCCGAAAACGGCATAATTCTCTACAGGAGCCGAAAACGGCATAACTCTCTACGGGAGCCGAAAATGGCATAACTCTCTACCGGAGCCGAAAATGGCATGACTCTCCACCGGAGCCGAAAACGCCGAAAACGACATGACTATCCACCGGAGCCGAAAATGACATGACTATATACCGGAGCCGATAACGGCATGACTCTCCACCGGAGCCGAAAATGACATAACTCTCCAGTGGAGTCGAAAATGGCATAACTCTATACCGGAGCCGAAAACGACATAACTCTCCAGTGGAGCCGAAAATGACATAACTATCTACTGGAGCCGAAAACGACATGACTCTCCATCGGAGCCGAAAACGACATGACTTTCCACGGAGTAAAAAACGACATGACTCTCCATCGGAGCCGAAAATAACATGACTCTCCACCGAAGTCGAAAACGACGTGACTCTCCACCGGAACCAAAGATGACTTGACTCTTCACTGGAGTGAAAAACGACATGACTCTCCACCCCTCAAACTCAAATAGGTGCTGTAGAAACCAACTTGAATTTGTCCAAGAGAAATCGGAAGCGGTTGGGAAGAAGTGACTTTGTGAAGATATTTGCTATCTGATCTGCGGAGGAGACCGAAATGAGATGGACAACACCACTGACGACATGCTGTCGAATGAAGGTGTCAGTCAAGCTCAACACCACTGACTGTCACGGTGAAGAGCCGTATAGGATGACTGAGGAACACCAAGATCAATGAGTAATCAAAAAAGCCATAAAAGTTTTGACGTAGAGTCAACAAGGACACGATACTCGGACTCGGCACTCGATCGATAAACTAAAGTCTGTTTCTTGTTGCGTCAAGAGACGAGAGAATCACCTAGGAAGAAGTAGAAACCAATGGTCGAACGATGATCACTAGGATCGCCAGCCTAATCAACATCAGAGTAACCGTTGAGAGTCAAAGACGAGTGAGAGGAAAAGTGTAAACCATGGAGGAAAGTATCTTTCACATAAAGAAGAATATGTAAGACGAAAAAATGATGAGAGGTCATCGGAGCGGTCATGAACTGACTCACAATATGGACTGCATGAGCGATATCTGGTCATGACAGTCAAGTAGATCAAGCTCCCAACAGGTTGACGATAGAGGGTATGATCGTCAAGAAGAGAGCCATCATGAGGAGTAAGTCAAACGTCGTAGGAAAATGGTGTAAAGGCTACCTGACAGTCTGTGAGACCAGCTCGAGCAAGAAGATCGGAGACATACTTAGCCTGAGAGAGAAAGAACTATCGGAAGAATCAGAGACTTCAAGTCTCAAAGAGTAACGAAAGGGACTCAAGCTCTTCGTCTCAAAATGCTGGCTAAGATATGCTTGTAAATCAGAAATACCAAACACATCATTTCCCGTGATAATCATATCATCAACATAAATCAAGAGTATAACTATCCCATATGAAGAACGGTGAAGGAATAGGCCAGAGTTGTAAGCGAATGTGGTAAAACCAAACTCCAATAGTGCATCACTAAATGTGGCATACCAAGCCTGAAGGGCCTACTTCAACCCATATAAAGTGCGATATAAGTGACGAAGTTTTTCAGGAGACGAGAAACCTAGAGGGGTAGTCATATAAACTTCTTCAAAAGTGTGCCATGTAAGAATGCATTCTTGACATCTAACTGAAGAAGGGACTACTGACGAGCAGCAACAACAGAAAGAAGATAACAAACAATAATGAGATGAGCAACGGGAGAAAAAGCCTCCTTATAGTCAACTTCATACTCCTGGGAATAACCTTTGGCCACCAAACGAGCCTTGTAGCACTCAATGGAACCATCATACTTAGTCCTGATTTTGAAGACCCACTTGCACCCACTAAGTGTCTTTCAAGAAGGCAAATCCACTAAATCCCAAGTGTGAGTATTTGTCAGAGCCTCAAATTCCTCAATCGTAGCTTGCTGCCATAATGGATCAGCACTCACCTCGCGAAATGACCTAGACTCATGATGAGATAATATGGTAGAGTAACAATGATAATCACGCAAGTGAGGAGGAGAGTGACTCACTTTATGTTATTGACGATGTATGATAGGTCCAGGGACTGCAAACAGATCAGTATCTGGAGACAAAGTAGGAGGTAGATCAGAAGTTTCAACTGGAGGTGGATCAGAAGCCTCAATTGGAATAGGATTCAGAGGCGGTGATGAAGCCATAGGATTAGGATCAGGAAACAAGGGAGGACATGCCGATAGGAAGGAATGTGAACCAGGAGTAGATGAGACATGAAATTTAGACAGGGTGGACAACATGATACTCTCCCAAAAGGTAACATGACGAGATATACGCAACCGTTTAGAAACTAGATCCAAAAGCCTATAACTTTTATGCTCTAACTCATGACCAAGAAAACAACATACACGTGCACGAGGTTCCAATTTGGAACGTTCATGCGGAGGGATAACGAAAAAATCGACACAACCGAAGAGACACAGCGTACTATAACCGGGTGGCTGACCATATGGACGCTCGAAAGGAGTGCTATTATGGACGACAGATAATGGAATACGGTTTATGGTATAAACAACAGTGAAGGCGGCTTCCCCCAAAACCTATCAGGACAAGAGGCAGACAAAAGGGATGTACAAACAATATCTAGAATGTGACGATGTTTACGCTCAGTGCGACCATTCTGTTGAGATGTGTGTGGAGAGGAACGCTGAATCAATGTACCTTGAGTAGAGAAAAAACTTAGTAAGGTAGAATCTCTATACTCAAGGGCATTATCAGTACGGAGGGTCTGTATGAGACAAAAAAATTGAGTTCGAACCATTTGAACAAATTGAATGTATCTTTGAGGTAATTATGAATGGTGTTTCAAAAAAATATATCCATGCAAAACGAGAGTAATCATCTATGAAAATAACATAATAACGACACCTATCCATAGAGGGAACATGGGAAGGACCTCAAATATCAACATGAACTAAAGATAATAGTTTACTTGTGGCCGACATATTTTTTGAAAAAGATAAGGCTGGTTGTTTTTCTAAATGACAGTGTAAAGAATCAAATGACTCAAAACGAGTAGGACCCAAATGACCCTTACTAATTAGAGACTGAATTTTAGAGGAAGACGCATGACCAAGACGAATGTGCCATTGAAGACTAGGGGAAATAAATGTATTAAAAGGGGTATGAGTAGTAGCAACAGAGAAATTACTTGGAGGGATTTTCAAAAATTGTACTTCAAATAGTTGACCCACTTTTCGACATATCCCAATAATTTGACCCGCACATGGATCCTAAACCTACATACCAAAAGAGAAAAAGGTAACAGTAAGTGCTGCTCAACTAGTAGGCCAATTGATACAAGATTTAAAGTCAATTGAGGAATGCAGTAAGTATCAAGAAAATATATAAATGGTAGAGATATATATTCTGAATGAGTAATATCCATGCGACTCCCATTAGCAGTATGTATAGACAATGAAGAAGACACTTGATGCGCATCAGTCAAGAGGCCAAGTTTAGGTGCCATATGATGGTAGCAATCAGAATCAAAATACCACGAATTTTTCATACCAGGTGGGGAATTAGAAGCAAAAACTTAATGCAAAAGAGTTACGAGATTCTGAACTAAAGAAGCCATGCCAGTAACAGCACAACAATAAAATCAACTCCAATGACAAAACCAATTACGCACTGGTATAAATCATGAAAGCAAGATTCAAATCAAGAAATTAAATTGAATAATCCAACCGGTAACAGTCGCAAAACAAAATCAACTCCGATGAAAAAACCAACCACACCACAATGTAGAAAACCAAGACAGAAGGCGACGGCCGAAAAATGGTGGTGGAGGATGGCCGGACACGCCACCACGCGGGGCCCGAAGTCGGTAGCGTCAAAATGGTCGCGACGCTGCGATACGCGCTGGAGGCGTGTGTGGGCTCCATGCGTTGGAGGCGCATATGGGCTCCACACGCCTTCTTTCGGGACAAAACTTTAGGGGTAGAGTCGCGGGACAACAGCAGAGCTGATGGTGGTGGCGGTGCCGACCGAAAGTCAACGGACGACGGCGAACAACGGCGGCGGCGGCGGCGGCGGCTAAGGTTCGTGTTTGAAAAATCAAGCTCTAATATCATGTTAGAATTTTTGGGGGAAAATAATGAGATTGTCTTATTAATTTCCATTTGCGCATAATATCCTACAAACTACGGTTTAAACCCATGACATCATGTTCACGAGTCCACCCCCACACCACTAGAATATATGATGTGTTGATTATATGCGTATTGGGTGCTGTTTTATATTTAAAAATATATTGACATTCACATTTTTAAGTTGAAAGTGCTAACTAAAAGAGATGTATTCAGGTGTATTCAATTGAGATTTAAAAGTATTTTAATTCTGGAGGTATTTAAATTAGATTTTTTAAAGTCTTTTAAAATCTTGTTCAATTCAACAATCCATAACTTTAAAAGACCGGAGTTTATTAACTTTAATGAAAGTTAAAATTGTATAATATAAAATTTCCCCGCAGATATTTTGATGAATTTTTACAATATATTATTATATTATAATTATAAGTGATAAATATTATGATTATAATTATTAGTATTATTATAA